TGAGCCCAGGAGTTGGAGGTTGCTGTGAGCGTGATGCCATGGCACTCTACCCAGGGGGACAGCTTGAGGCTCCGTCTCAAAAAAAAAAAAAAAACCTAGCCAATAGATTACAGCTACACATTAAAAAAATCATTCATTGTGATCAAGTAGGTTTCATCCCAAGGACACAAGGCTGGTTTAACATACGCAAGTCCACAAACACAGTTCACCATATCAACAGAAGTAAAAACAAAGACCATATGATCCCCTCAATAGATGCAGAAAAAGCATTGGATAAAATTCAGCCTCCTTTTCTAACTAGAACAGTTAAGAATTTAGGCATAGGTGGCACATTTCTTAATCTGATCTAAGCTATCTACAACAAACCCATTGCTAGTATTATGCTGAATGGAGTAAAACTGAAAGCTTTTCCACTTAGAACTGGAACCAGACAAAGTTGTCCTCTACTTTCAAGTTTCTACTTACAAGGTTGCCTCTACTACTCAACATAGTGCTGGAAGTTCTAGCCAATACAGCAGGAGATAAAGGACATCCAAATGGGTGCGGAGGAGGTCAAATTCCTGCTCATTGCTGATGGTATGATCTTAGAGAACCCTGAAGACTCAACTACAAGATTTTTGGAAGTGACCAAAAAATACAGCAATATCTTAGTATATAAAATCAATGTCCACAAATTTGTATATGCCAATAACAGCCAAGATGAGAGACTAATCAAGGACACAGTTCCCTTCATGGTAACTTCAAACAAAATTAAATACCTAGGAATATACATAAAAAAGAGGTGAAGTACCTCCACAAAGAAAATTACAAAATCCTAAGAAAAGAAATAACAAAAGATATTAATAAATGGAGGAACATACCATGCTCATGGCTGGGAAGAATCAACTTTGTCAAAATGTCTTTACTACCTAAAGCAATCCCATTAAAATACCATCAACATTCTTTCAAGATTTAGAAAAAATAATTCTTCATTTTGCATGGAACCATAAGAAATCCCGTATAGCCAAATCAATTCTTAGTAATAAAAGCAAAGCTGGGGCTATCACCCTACAGAATTTAGGCTACACTACAAGGCTATAGGGATCAAAACAGCTTGGTATTGGCATAAAAGTACCAATATCACTAACATTTGGAACTGAATAAAAAACTATAAGGTAAAACTAACATCTTACAGCCACCTGATCTTTGACAAACCAAACAAGAACGTACACTGGGGAAAAGAATCCCTATTCAACAAATGGTGTTGGGAGAACTGGATAACCACATGTAAAATACTGAAACTGCACCTCTCACCACTTACAAAAATTGATTCAAGATGGATAAAAGATTAAATCTAAGGAACAAAACAATAAAGATCCTTGAAGAAAGTGTAGAGAAAACACTTGAAAATATCGGTCTGGGGAAAGATTTTATGAAGAGGACTTCCATGGCAATTGCAACAATAATGAAAATAAACAAATGGGACTTAATTAAAATGAAAAGCTTCTGTACAGCTAAGGAAACAACAACCAAAGCAAATAGACAACTTTCAGAATGGGCAAAGATATTTACATATTATCAATCTGACAAAAGCTTGATAACTAGGATCTAAAGAGAACTCAAATTAATCAACAAAACAGACCCAACAATCCCATATATCACTGGGAAAGAAACATGAATAGAACCTTCTCTAAAGAAGACAGACCAAGGACTAACAAACATATGAAAAAATGCTCATCATCTAACAAACATATGAAAAAATGCTCATCATCCTTAATCAGAGAAATGCAAATCAAAACTACCCTGAGATATCACCTAGCCTTCACAAAATTCTCAAAGCTGTGGAAGCTGGCTGCAGATGGATGGGGAAAGAAGGGAACACTTTTACAATGCTAGTGGGATGGCAAACTAATACAACCTTTTTGGAAGGAAGTATGGAGAATCCTCAAAGAACTCATATTAGACCTCCCATTTGATCCTTCAATCCCCTTACTAGGCATCTACCCAAAGGAAAAAAAAAAGGACACTTGCACTGTTTATTGCTGCTCAATTTATGATCACAAAAATGTGGAAATAACCTAAATTCCCACCAACCCTGGAATGAATTAACAAGCTGTGGTATATGTATACCATGGAATACCATTCAGCCACTAAAAAAGATGGAGACTTTATATCTTTTGTATTAACCTGGATGGAGGTGAAACACATTCTTCTTAGTAAAGCATCACAAGAATGGAGAAGCAAGGAACCAGTGTAATCAATTCTAATATGAAGGCAGTAGATGAGCTAATACAAGGGTGGGTAGGGAATGAGCAAGTGGGGAGAAGGGAAGGGGGGTTAGGGAGTTGTGGTATACGGCATACCTCTTGGGTGCAGGACAGAATTCTAAGCGGGACTTTATCTAACACATGAAATCAGTGTAACCTAATTCTTTGTACCCTCTGAATCCCAAGTAATAAAAAAGATAAAACATATATATTTAAAATGCTATTTCTAGCGCATATAAAAATAACGAAAAGTATTCATGTACATGCAAAGTTGTTTGACACACTGCTGGGGGTACACACACTATACTTCAGGAGATTCTGCTTTAGACAAAGAAGAACTTGGGATGACATGTGTGCTAAGGGCCAGAGGGCAGGGCTGGGTCCCAGCACCTGTTGCCATAGAAATAACTACATCAGAGAGACACCACTCTGGAGGGCTGACCTAAAGCACTGTAGCCGAAGTCCATGGGCGAACCGGCCAGCTTGGTATTCTTCTCCATCCATTACTGAAGGGACTGTCTCTGTGTCCTGCACAATGATGGCCATTTCACTGTCACGCCTTCCCAGCATGCTTCGGTCATTTATGTTGGCAGAGCCTGTAGGGAGAAAGTGATGAGACTGAACATCTTCTACTGTGGCAGACCCTGCTGCCTGCCCTCCCCACTCAGGTCTTTCTTTTGTTCAGGTTATTTAGAAAAGATGTACTATGGGGAGATGCCCCTTCCCTAACACAGGGAGGGTCTTGATCAGTTTAAGCCAGCGATGGTAATTTCATCATTTTTCATGTGACATGTAAGAATGTGCACTAGATGTGGTTCTCATCAGTGGAACATGAAGGAAAATTTTCTAAGGGCTCCTGAGAAAGTTTTTCTCCTTTGCATAAAGGAGCACAAGAAATAGCTGTCTCTTCCAGCCTTTGAATATATTGGCTTGAAGAGATTAATTTCAGGGGCTTTTGCAGCCACTTTGCAACCACTAGGGGACAAACAGATAAGCTGAAGACAGCAGAGCAGAAAAAAAGTTCTTCAGCTCTTGAACTTTCTGACCTTTCATGTGAAATAATTTATTTTCATTATTGTTTTACATACTTTTAGTTGAATTTTTTAACTTGTGGTGCAAAGGATTCTGATAGACTCCTTGAGCACTGAAGGAAAGTCGGAGTGCCTACCAGCTCAGCAGAGGATGGCTCCGCCTTCAGGATTAAAATGCAGATTTTGAGTCATGGCCATACAATTTTGAACAACAAAGCCCAAGAGCACCTTCATGATCAATAGAGTATAATCTCAAGTACAGGGCATCATCTGTGGCCTGGGCTTCTCACTCTCTTGCCTCACTGTGTGGTGTGCCAGTAGCTTCTGTGTCATCTTCCCTCTCTTCTAAGTCCAAGTAAGCTGAGGATGTAGCTTTCACATGTGAAGGGAAAATACTTTCTGTCATCAGCCTAGATCTTCTGCTGTCCTCTGCCATGTATAAAAGCCCCACTCACTTTCTGCATTGATCAGGAGGCTTCATGATGCCTTTCAAGCACTTACACACTACAGAATAGGCTGGACAGACTCTCCTTCTTGTTTCTCTTGCCCTAATTACAACACTGGCTGCTTCTGCTGACATGGAGCAGAAGGGCCAGGCCAGACAGATGACCAGGGCAGCCAGAGTCTATGGTGATGGTAGCCCTGCACGAGCCCAAGTGTCGGGAATTCTGCATGAGAAAAAGCTGCCCTTTCTTGAAGAGAGTTCAATTCATTTGTCAGGGTCTTACCATATAGATGATATACAAATCTATGATGACTGTGGATGTAAGTGGTGCCTTCTGGTGGCCGTGGATGACAGAGAAAGGATGGAGCACTAAGGTGGAAAACCTTTGAAACATTTTGTTTTATTGTTAGCAAATCATCCTTTATGTGTATACTGATGTTTTGGCTAAGATATAAAATTTGTAGCTATATCTTTGGGCCCAGAATTACTTTGGACAATTTACTTAATCTTTCTCAGCTTTAATATAACCTTTCATAAATGAGATAATAATCTAGACCTTATAGGGTTGTTGTGATAATTAAGTAAGAGCACGTAAAAACACTTACTCTACAAAGGTTAATTATTGACTTTATTAGACACTTACTAACTCTTTAATAACAGCACCAGAGAATATTGCCACAGGGAGGAACAATTTGCTCGAAAACAGCATTCGTATTAAAGAAGTCTCCTCTCTGGCTAAGTCACCCTATGTGTGCCTTGTGAAGTCCTCATCATGCTACTTTAGGATACTACTCTCCCCTAGACCTAGCAGAAGCTGTTGGCAGAAGGGGGCTGGACTAGGTGGACGCCCACCCTGCTCTGATCACTGTCAAGAGAGCTGGGGCTGAGCCCTCCTGGAAGCAGAAGCCTCCCACACACCTCCCACACCCTCTCCTACAAGGACCCCAGGCCCTCTCACTACAGTGGCCCCCACACTTTGGAGCGGAGGGACATCCTGCATTCTGAGGTGGGATTCTCAGAGGCAGGGTTTTACAGGCCAGTCTGGTGTTGCCCAGAGCACTGATTCTCAGCCACTTTGTAAAAATGACATGGAGCAAAAGGGCCTTGTCTAACAGGAGGGCTGCTGTCTAACAAGAGTGGGAAGAAAGGGATGAGAAAATTCTAGATGAATTGAATAAACGAGATACTGACAATGCGCTATAGATGGATGTAAATTCTACTACCTCCATTCCTATTAAATGTTCCTGTATTCTGAAAATAAAATTCAGACTGGCAGACATGTAATACATGAGGAAGAAAAGTGAACGAGAAATGCAGAGAATACACAGTGCACTGTTAGTAGTACTGGGTGCTTTCCAGTGGGGAAAAAAAAACTGAACAAATCTATTTAAAACTGAACTAATCTATCTGTTAGTTCTGACATGGAAAATTACTTTTTGTTTATAATTTATGTAAAGTAAAGCAGGCTGAATGTCAAAATGACCTGTCAACAGAAAATATTTACATCTGTCAATTTTCACTTTGAGTCCTGAAATCTTATTCAAGAGACCAACCGAATTTTACTTGGCTTTGCTTATTCATTTTTCCATTTCAGGAAACATCAATATTTTTTTCTTTCCTTCTGTCATTGCCAAATTTAAAATAAAAATATTCTAAGGTTACTTTTTGAAGAGCAAGGCCAGAGAAGCCTGTGGGAAATAAGAGACACCTTGTATGTTGGGGAAGTAGAGGAAGACTAACCCCCTACAGAGGTTCAATCCCTATAGAAAAAGATATCAAAGAACAAGATATTTTTCTTAAACACACTATTCAAGTATTAAAAGAATGTGTAGAATGTGTGTGTGTCTCCCTACAATGCAGCATACTGTAGTGTATGCATCTTCTGACTTCAGAAGTACCTTTCCTTTTTAAATCCATGCCACACAAGGCAGCCTCATCACTCCTAGATGTGAGATACTTTTTTCTTTTCTCAGCAGAGGACAAAGATCATATTTATTGTCAAAAACTTTCAAAATACTCCATAACATTTAGTTTCTTAAATAATAAGAAAGGATCTTATTATAGATGAGAAACTACATTTTACTTAAAACAGATGAGGAGAATTTCCAAAAGTAGGACACATCCTATCTCTAAGTGATATGCCCCACCCTGGTTTCTTCATGTACATGTATCCAGCAGCTTATTAATACTCTGTTGCTCATCCTGGCTTCCCAGTGTTCATTTTACATAATGTTAGAAGGCAAAACAAGTCAATGATGGAAAATACAAAACTTTCCATTCATATAAAAGAATGAAAAGGAAGCTTTCTGGCCAAGTTAATCTAATCTGGGTAGAACATTTAACCATAACTCTCTCTTCAATCCTCTTCTATGGGTAGAGGCTTGGGAGAAAGCCTTGATCCTTGACCAGAAAAGACTGAAGAGCTTAGCACAGAGCTGTGTTCTGTCATTAACACACAATTCTCTCCTCACCCTCACCCATTAGCAAAGCCAGACTGCTCTACATCTAACAGCACCCAGACACAATGTTAGGAAAAGCCAGGGTAAGCACAGAGGCAGTGTACCTTACTATTCTTCTGATTTGATTTTTACACAACTTCAGATTTGTGGTAATGGTTAGGTGGTCAAGGTGGATGTGGTGTAAACACAGACAGATTACAAGGTACTTGCTTATAACACACTTTTCCTCCCTATTTCTCCCCACTCTCCAATCCCTGAAACCCAGTTACTTGGAGTCAAAATAAACATAAGGGACTAAGAAAGAATTAAGAGATCAGGCAAATTAGTGGACTGCTGGGTTAACTAACTGCTCTGGATACTGAAATTCATACAAAGTCCATAGAATTGCTCTGCCCCTCAGCCTCGGCATAGGTAAAAATGTGTTGGAAAGGATATGAGAGAAAGTGATTGCTTCAGAAGAGTTTTAGATGTTGTGTTACTATCTTAGCTACAGAGAAAGCTTGAGAGGAAGAGCAGCAGAAGTTTTGCCTGGGGTGAGCTGAATGGCAGGGAACAATCACGGACCATGCACCATACTTACCAATAATAACCGTGTTGTCATCAGCAATTAACAACTTGCTGTGGACGTAGATAAGCTCAGTGACAAGATTCCCTTCAAGGTCTGCATGTGTTCTGAGACCACAGAATGATATATAATTTATCCACTGATTTCCAACTGTAAATTAATAAATTGCTAAAATTAATATAGCCAAGGTCAATAAAGGCACATTAAATTTTATTGTTTTTCAAAGCAAATATACTACTTAAACAGGGTGTTCAGAATAAATTGTATATTACATACAGGCATTTTTCTATTTCAGGATGCATGCAGGATATACATTGTTAATCTGGAGGGCTATGCATTTGCTAAAAGTCATACTAAAGTGCTTTCTGTCTTCCCTTTGGCAAGGCAATCCCCAAAGGTATTCAAATATGAACACTTTATCTTAATGATTTAATGAATAACTGCAGAGTGATGGAGTAGATTAGCCACTGCCTCAGTGTGACATTTGCTTCCCTCTTAGTTGACACCGGTGGGAGTTTACAACAGATGCCAGGTGTGCACCAATGCTGCCAGATGCACACATCAGTTGTAGCACATTCAATCCAAAGCAGCAGGAAATTTTACAGACTTTGGGTAAATAAAAATATTTGCAATTAAAATTAGGAAATAAAGAATCCTTACTCAGGAGAATCTTCTTCAGAGCAAAGGGCACCAGGTTTGTACTTTAAAATGTTGCCCTCTTATCTCATCATGTGGTAAGAAAAAATGCATCCATCCCAAGCCACCTCCAATCCACTGCCCTGGTGTAGGAGTTAGTTGCAGCATTTTATGGTACCGCTTTCACACAGCAGTTGTACTGGAATAGCAAAGTCTGACACTAAGAATAAATGGAGCAGAACCATCATGGATTCTAACGGAAAAAGAGTATACATTGTTTTCTTTTCTTTTCTTTCTTTCTTTTGTTGTTGTTGTTGTTGTTGTTGTTGTTTGTTTTTGGCCAGGGCTGGGTTTGAATCCACCACCTCTGGCATATGGCGCCAGTGCCCTATTCCTTTGAGCCACAGGCACCACCCACAAACTGTTTTCTTTAAGAGAATTTTTAAAGCATAATAATGGTAGTTCATATTCCATTTATTGAAGTTTCCATTTATTCCTGATATTTTCTCTTTTGCTATCAATGCTATTCAATATTTCTATTAAGTTTGGACATCTTGGAAATAAATTCAGTAATAGGTTAAATACAGAGATTCCTCCTTTAAAATTCCTCCTTATGTAGATGAGTGATCTTATATAATGGTGTTTAACAGAACTTGGTAGGTTGTGTACTAATGCATCATATGTAAAAAATGCACTTCTAAAGTGTTTCGTGTAAGTAAGATTTTTGCAATCAATTTCCTCCCCTCACTACAAAGATACTTCATTGGAAGCATTACTTCCTTTTAAAAATCTTTTCTGACCCATTTCCTCCCTCAAGAGCATACAATTTCTGGAAAATATTTCTAACATAATGCCTAATATTTTACGAATATTTGTATAATCTTCAATTTTTCCTACTCTTGTACAGAAGATATGTCTTACACATATAAGTATCCTTATCCTTACATAGTGCTAGAAATAGTTGAATAAATGAGTGACCCTCCCACCACCCAGCCGCCCTTCTCCCCTCCCCTTCCCCACCCCCTTGTACCCCATGTTTGCATTAATGTATACAGCTATCATTTAATAAAAAAAAGAATGAGTGACTAGATCAGTGGATAAATATTGAAGTGGCAGATATTACCTTAGGTTTTAGTTTCTTCATGTCATTTACTTTCCTACAGCTGGCTCTAGATATGGAATCTATAATTTTAAGACATGAAGAAGTCTTTTAAAGGAATCATAGAGCAAGCTCTGTGCTAAAGTAAACATGTCCTGCAGTGATTTCCCATTAAACATTCACACAGAACAACACAGCACACCAGTGACTCTCAGCATGCATGAGGACTACCTCTGCAGGGTTTATTAATAATATATATATACTGAAGTCAGTATAAAAAGCCGAGAATATATAGCACATAAATGTATACAGAAGCTAGAAAACGGAATGGACATTTCATATGTTATAATGACAGCATCTGAAATAACGAGGACAAGGACTTTTAAATGAAAGGTGCTGGTACAATTGCATCAACACTTGAAAAGGACAAAACTCCTAGATTTTATTAGGAATAAACGCCAAATGGATCAGAGATAGAAATGTATGCAGGAGACACCAGACATGTGTTGGAAGGCAATAAAAGTGAATTTCTGAATACCCCTAATGTAGGGAAGACTCTGTAACTATTCAGAAGTAATAATAGAAAAAGATTGGTGATGTTGGCTAGATTAAAACAAAAACAGTATGTTTGAATGACACAAAACACTGTAAACAAATGCAAAAGGCAAAAGAACAACTGTAATATATTTGTAATGTATATATATCACGGGCCAAAAGGTAGGGGAAGAGAATTCAATTATCAAAGAGACATCAATAGCTTGATAGAAAAATGGGCATAAGACATTTGTAAAAGATATTCATTCCTATGAATGAATTCTTATTAAGAATAAGATCTTATTATTAAGATATGAATTCTTATGAATTTATTTTTATTCATTCCTATAAAAATGCAAATTAAAACTATACTGAGAAACTACTTCTTACTTATGAGACTGACAAAATATAAAACATACTTTGCCAGTAAAAATGGGTTGAATCAGGCCCCCTCATATACTGGTGTGGTCACTTGGCAAAATCTAACAAAGCTCCCTATATATTCATCTCTTAATTCAGCAATCCCATTTTATAAATTTATCCTAAATATATACCACCACTCCCTTAATGAGGAGGATATTAATATCAAATCAAAGTATTTTACAACAAAATGCTTATTAATTACAAAGGGAAAACGGAAACTTTACGTTGAAGCGCTCTAGCAGATCTGCCATGGATAAATGATCAAAGTTAATATAACCAGTAATATTAACAAATCAGGATCATATTCCTCCTGATATGTTACACTAAGAAGAATGTCACTTCTCTGATATTCCTGCCTGAAATGCACAGCTTAAATCTACTTGGTTATTCTGTAGAATAAGGGGTGTGTCAAACTGAGATACTAGACAAAGGGCTTCTCAGTCCCCCCCCTACTTCCCACTCATTCCTGGCTATTGGCAGCTCTCATAAAATGTGATACAATCTTTATTTCCTTGGAAAAAAATGTCCTTGGAAAGAAAACTAAAAGTTAGAACCACTAACAGATCTGCAAGAAAGACAATTGTTTCTAGACAGCAAGTGGGCATGCTGGATGCTGCCCCAAATGCAGTGGGGCTTGTTTACAACACAGAAGAATCCCCACATACTCACACAGAAAAAAAAAGCTGACTGAGAAAATATTCCAGCCACTACTTCACAGACTTTAGTCCATGACGAATACTATTTCAACATGTAATGGGTACAAGGTTGGTGATATTAATTAATGTTGAGGATATACTGTGGGGAAAGTACCTTTTGAAGAAAATATAAGAAAGCCAGGAGTCTATATAAGCATTAATATCAAGCAATAGGCAGGCAAGTAGCAGAGAGACTTCTAATTGTTTTTCACGAAAGTATTTTGAGAATCTGGAGGTTTGCATGGGTCCCAGGGCATATCTGTTGTGAACACTGGGGCATATGTACCTTGGAAGAAGAGTAGTTCAATACAATAGACTTAATGCTGAGAAGGAAATTTTGTTAAAGAACACCAAGAGTTTTGGTAGTGTTACTTAAAAACATGTAGCACTTGGCATATATACATTTCTAATCCTGACTGAAGACCTCTAGAAATTATCTTAAGTTATATTAAATTGGCTATAGTAATTCACAAAAATTATGAAGGTCATAAAGAAATGCTTTAATTAAACATTAAATCTCTGAAGACTGGAGTATCAGATAATTATATATTAATAGCTGCTGTTGATCCTCTCAGGAATTTTAACACATTCTTAGTAGCAGTTTTGTTATTCTAAAAATTAAAACAGTAGAGAGGGTGGCTCCTGTGGCTCAAAGAAGTAGGGAGCTGTTGCTGTAAGCATCTCACGGAAAAGTGATGTGGCAGAGAATAAGCATGCTTATTGAAATTGTGTTTTAAATAAAGGTGACCATCTGCTTGCTCAGGCAAAATGGTGAGCTTCTTTATTTGCAGTTGGCTTATACAGGGAATTTTGTACATATAGCAATGACCTCATTGATCCAATTAAATGTCATGTGACATCTGATAATCCACTCAACATACACCTTTTAACATAACCCTTTCAACATAACCCAATCTTAATGGAGAAAATGTTGTTAGCCATTAGTCTTTGTTCTTATCTGATGATGCCTGAGGCTAGGGAGGAACAAGGTAGATTGAATACCTGCCCTTGCTTGCCTTGCCATTTGGAGGCTGTTACTTTGAATCCTTAAGCAAAGCATAGAGAAACTTCTTGGGATACAGGAATCTGTGTGCGAAACTTTGCTCCCATGTGAGCTTTAAGTCAGGGATTCTTGCTGGAGCCTTTCATAAGGAATTCTCAGGCTGAACTTCTCAAAAGCCTTTCATGAGCCCAAGGTTCATCTGTGCCATTAGATACCTGTATGCATTGCGTAAATTCCTCTTCTCTTGAGGTCCCTGAGCACATTCCCAGACCTGTCAGCAAGTGACCTTCATCACACACCACAGATCAGGAAAGGTTACTCCATTCCCAGACCCATCAGCAAGAGACCTTCGTCACCTACCACAGATCAGGAAAGGTTAATGATGGGTATCTGGTCAGTTTTCCAAAGGGCTTTTTTATTGGCCTTATAAAGTCAACCTTAATTCCTTAACACAGTCTGGACATCTCTGGAAATGCTATTCCAGTCAAAGCCTTGGTCATATTAGGCCTGCAATTAACCTGGCCATATGGGATTCTGCCTCAGTTTCTCACAAGTATGCTTGCTCAAAGTCTTTTCACTGCTCTCTCAAATGACTTTTTTGGCCAGAGGCATATAGGCGTTTCACCTATAGGAGCCATCCCCATATATCGGAGGTGATGGATTCAAACCTGGCCCTGGCCAAAAACTGCAAAAAAAAAAAAAAAAAAAAAAAAAAAAATTAAAACAGTAGAAAACAACATTTCTCTATCCAATTAGATAT